TCTTAGAATACAAAGTGTTAAAAATTTACGAGCTGTCTCAATGGTCTTTAAAGTTGGGCGTTTCTGACACAATGGTCCTGAAAGTTAGGCGCTTTAGCAAATTGACAATATGTTTATAGACACATTTGAGTTTTTTAATGTAACAGTATAATTTTTCCATATATTGCTGATAGTAAGAGCTAATCAATAAACTAACCTGTAAAGCCCTGTCAAAGAAAAATACTTTAGTTAACTTCATTCAGCCATTTTTTATCATTCTTTTTATTTTTCAGTGTCCCACAGGTCATTGGGTGAAATAAAATGAATTGACTAATAATTTGTTCAATTGGTGATTTATATCTTTCCAAGTTTTTGACAATTTTTATTGTTTTAATTTTGGGGCGTTGGTGACAGTTATTAAAGATGATCTGAAATGGTCTGTACTGGTGGTCACTGAAGTGATACAAAGAAATCAACTAAGAAAATCTTCCTCTGAAATTGTGTTTGTAGACACTACCTCATCTTGTGATATCTCAAAAACAAATGTTACAATTGTGCTAACATCAAGTTCCGCAGTAAGTATCCCTATTGCTATTCTATTTTATGCTAATAAAACTGAAGAGAATTATGAGCAAGCATTCAAACTTCTTAAATTATATAAAATCATGAATGCATTTAACATAAATTCCAAAATTCAAAACTTATTCTAAAATATAGTTCAAAAAAATATATATCAAGGTAGTTGGAATAAAAAAGAGTTGTCTTGATTCCAATAATAGTAATAGCAACAATAATATTAATAATTATTATTATTATTATTATTATTATTGTTATATATATGTTTATTAGAACATATATATTTATATATATGTTCTAATAAACAAATATATTTTAAGATGAAACAAAATGCCCAAAATGTTTTATAGGTAATTTAAATTATTATAAGTATATTCTCTATATGCATATATAATATATAATATTAGGTACTTCAAAATCTGACCGCGTAATATAGATAATCGATAAAACATGGTTAAAGAAAAAATATCTAAGGTTTTATGCCGACAAAATAGTTTGAGGTGTATGTTCTTCCATCATTCAACCAATGCCTTAAAAAACATTAAAATTTTATTGGTTAGTACAGTAAAAAAATATTTTTTGATATTTTTATTTATAGAGAAAATTTGATTCAAAAATTAAGATCATTTTATTACCCAAAATTTTTTTCGAAAGCATTTAGTGTTTTTTTTTTTTGTCACATTTGTTATATCAAAGTTAGGTCGTTTCCTAGTCTTTAAATTTCCAATTACAATAGTTTTTATTAGTGCTATATTCTGAGTTTTGAATAATAACAATCTTGTTTATTGTTACTTTTGTAAAAAAACGGACGTGATGAATACTTTAATGAGATTCTTAAAAACCTTAAATCGCTAAAAACATCAAAATTCATACAAAAGAAATCTTAAATTTTGTGGTTTAAAAGTTGCATAAGTTTTCGACTAATAATAATATAAGAATAAATTTGTTATTTTTGAACTGTTAATGTTTACCTTTAATTTATGGTATTTGTTTTAATTATAGCCTAACTTTATCTGTTTTTTTCTCTGTTTTTTTCGTCCATGTATTACAAAGTCAGGATTTACCTTTTTAGGGATATTTTCAAAATTCCAGATAATTTTCTCAAGTTTTAGCTGTTTTGTATTTCCAAAATGTTTTCTGTACATATTATACATTTAATTTCTATATACATACATAAAAGTACAAAATGTTTAAGTATAAATTTTTGTAATATATTTGTTTATTAGCTTTTGCAGTCATCGCTCATACAAAAATTAGGAAAAGTTACAAATAAATAAAGAAACTCACCAGCGTAGATGATATAACAAAATACCCTGACAAACTTTGAGGGTTTAACATCTTGGGTAATCACTTTAAAATAAAATGCAAGCTGTGTATATTGCTAATTAATTAAATATAACCTGGATATTCACTTTAAAATACAAGTATATTGTGTATACAAATGTAACTTTAAAATAAAATACAAGTATATTGCGGTATTTTGTATATCGCTAATTAATTAAATATAACTTGGATGATCACTTAAAAATAAAATGCAAGCGGTGTATATTGCTTATAAATAAATATAACCTGGATGATTACTTTAAAATAAAATACAAGCTGTGTATATTGATAATTAATTAAATATAACTCCAAATCACTCCAAAATAAAATGCAAGCTATGTTGCTAATTAATTAAATAACAACAGCAGCATTTAAATTACTCTTTAAAATATATTTTGGCTTAAGGTTTTCTGAACTTTATTCAAATACTGATCTACATTAGGGTTAAAGTTTAAACAAATAAAAGGTTTAAACTTAAATGTTTACAAGTTTATAAGCCGCAAATCTTCATTTAAATAGGAATTCTATTAGTTAAACGTTTTGTATTTTATTTTAACTCTTTGTTGTAGGAGCCCCAAGTTTTTATTCTGGATGACTCAAGTGAAGAAAAAAATGCACTAAGTTCTGTATGGCCTACAGCAACAATGTTATTATGTTATTTTCATGTATTACAATGGTAGTGGTTGTTTAAAAAAGTTGCAAAATCTGATCGTCAAAAACTTTACCAATTGTTTAAAAATGTATTTTTGTTATACATATTCAAATAGATTTATAACCATTTAATTATATACTTCTATTACTACTTTTTGAAATAAATTTTTTTTAAATGGAATCTTATGCAATTATCTACTAGTTTGTTTTCTAGATTATCTATGCTGATACAAGCGAAAGGCTTGAGTTATCGTTGCAGCAACTAAAAAGCATAAAACTAACCTACCTAAAGTTTTATAAAAGGGTTAAAAAAATACTATAGCAAGAGGAAATTTGAATTTGTCATGTTATATAGAAAAGACTTAATTATTCGAAACCACAATACAAATAATTTTAGTGAAGCAACAATAAGAATTCTTAAAAATATTGTTTTATGTAGAACAAAAGCATTCAACGTTGCAGCACTTGTAGATTATACTGTCATTGTTTGGGACAGATACTATTGCAACCGTCTTCTGAATACTGCATATAATCGTTGCTCTGCCTATGAAATATTCAACAACAAATTGTGTCAAAAATAGACATTAATTCGATTAAATTGTTGGAGAGTTATACTTATACCTAGTTTAAAAAAATTCAAATGTCGAATATACAGTCAATAGTGACGTTGGCTGAATAAAGTAATATGGTTTGCATTAATTAAATTAGCAGTAAATTATTATTTTCTTAGATAGAACTCATGAAAAATCTTTGATATCTGGCGATGTAAATAACAGAGAGATTTTGTCATTGACGTGACCTCAATCCAGTACTTTACTTCTCAATAAGTTTATAGAAACATTTAAAGGGTAAAAACGAAAATCTAAACTGAAAAACAACTTAATTATTGACAGCTATTTAATGGTTCAATTGAAGTAAATAATTAGTAGTTGTGCAAAACTCTGAATTTCAAACATATTTGTCCTTAAATAATGAGAGTATTGATAACAACACCAATTACAATCAATATTGATCTTAACCATGACTATATTCTAAAGAGCATTGATAACAACCAGTTGAACTTAATTTTAACAGTTGAGTAAAATCTAATATGAAAACTTTTTCCTTGTTTATTCAAAATCATTGACATGTGCCTTTAATGTTATTTAAAAAATAACTTTAAATAAGTTTATTTTTTGCATTTATATAAAAATTTTTGCTCACCTAATAGAGCAATAACTCTGATATAAATGCCCAAAAAAAATAACCAACTTTAAAATTTGATTCCAACTGTAATATTTGATTCAACCTTTCCATAATATCATTTCACTTGTAATGTAATAGACAATCTAGACTTAGAGTTTATGAACTACACTGATTACCAATAATAAAGAGAAAGTTATACTATTTTATATACATTTTACACTTATTTGGTTTCCCATAGTGTTATTTCTTAATTAAAACAATATAAAGAAGCAATTTTTTCCAAATGGATGACATTTTAAATGTTAATCTTTTACGAAACAGACCTGAGTATTTTTACAGAAACACCATCGATTGGAAGATTACAATCCAAGGAAAAGCTCCTCCTACCCTTAACAACATGTAAGTGAAGAATTTGAATCAGACTTTACCTTCAGCATGAAAAAAAGCCTCACCTGCCCTGAATATCAAAAGTAATCAATCCTTATATTACACTTAACAGCAGGAAATTGATGGGGCATTTTTTATTTTTTGATAAATACAGTTTACTAGTTAATAGTTTTTAGTTATATTATATCACTATTTTATTATGATACTATTATATCAATGAAAAATTAATGCAGCTAGAGTATGGAGAAATAACACATACAAGCTTGTTAAAAACATAAAAGTTAAATGTAATTACATGTTAAATTTAGCAAATCAAATCTGCTGGGTGCAGTTAACTTCAATACATTCAACATAAACTGAGTTGTATATTTGTAAGTTATATCTATTGTGCATTTTATTTCAATACTCTTTCCACATGTAAATTGGCTTTCTCCTGATATAATTTAAATAAAAGCAGTTTTATCATCATAAACTACTTCTGAATTAAGTAAAACAGTAAGCACTGAGTCTAGTTTTTAATAAATAAATACAAAACCTATAATTAATTTTAAATAAAAGTAAACAAAGTCTAACTATTTTTTTATAAGGATTTTTATATTTCCTTTTTTTATAAGCACATAAGTCCAGTTTTTAATAAATAAATACAAAATCTATAAACAAATTCAAAAATAAACAGAATCTAACTTTTATGTGTATGTATATATATATGTATGTGTGTATGTATATATATTATTATAATATATATATATATATATATATATATATATATATATATATATATATATATATATATATATATATATATATATATATATATATATATATATATATATATATATATATATATATATATATATATATATATATTACTTTATCAGAATGTAATGTCGAAACAACTATAAGCAAATTAACACTTTTCAGCAAAAAACTAAGTTAACAAAATATTAAAAAAATCAGTTTTTTAAATGACTTTGCAGGTTGATTATAATTTAAAGCAAGAAGAACATGTACAAAAAATGTGTGTTTTCATTTAAATGAACAAGATGATGATGAAAGACAAATCGAAAATAATTTCATATCCGAGATTCATTGTTCATGCAACTGAAACTAAACGATTTCTTCTGTTTACGCACATTGCAATTTTTTTTCATTCGCATTCTCGTTGTTTGAGTTGACATGTGCTAAAAATTAGTAATTATTAATAGCAATACAAATTAGTATATTAAATGTTTATAAAAGAACAAAAATACAAAAAACTTATTTATCACCATTTTTAAAAAAACTTACAGGAACAACTTTTTAAATTCAACTCCAAAGAAGTGCTCTTAGACTTATCTGTAGTGATAGCTATATCAACGCAATTAACATTCTCATGAATATTGGAATAATCGTTATTACCAATATTATCATAACCGTCATCCAAATCTATGTAATCTGACAAAACTTTTTTCATTTCTGAAGAATGTTCCATGTTACTAGCACAATCATCTAAAATTTGCAGAAGCCTCTTCTTTTTATCTTCATAAATCTGATCTTTATTCGGATGTTGTTTTTCAAAACACGTCATTAAGGCTTTAAACAAATCTACATTACCTCTTGATAAAGTATGTTCAAACAAAACTCCATCGTAATAAAAAACATCTATATCGTCAGATGTATCTAGAATTTTGAATGCCCTATCTAGATCATTCCAACTAAGAAAATCAAATAAAATGTTTGAATCCATTTTTTGTAAAGTTTCCATAGATTACGTGGTGGAAAGCGAACACACAACTTTAGCTTATAAAGTGTATATATGTACAAAATATATGCACACGTGGCAGTATAGATACTTGAATCTTATAAAATTATTAAAATAAAATTTTTATTTGTACATATTTTATTAACTAATAAATTCGTTATTATACAAATCACTGAAATTCAAAAGGCGTTAATAAGTTTAAACAATAAAAGCTCGCTAAAAAGCTAAAAGCGCGCTTTGTTTACTATTCGTTTTGTTTACTATACTTTTACGTTATACTAATAGCATAACGTATTTAATTACAATTATTTATATAACATACCTTGTGGTAGGTAAATGTTTAAAGTTTATTTTTGAACAAATTCATATAGAATTTAATTCTCTATTTTACGATATAAGTTATTTATTTTTGCTTTAAATAAATCTAAAAAAATTAGATAATTCCTTTTTTAAACGAATTACCTTATCGAGAAAATGTTTAATTACCTAATAATAAATACCTAATTACCGAATAATAAATGTACCTAAAAATAGATGTGTATTAGCTCTACCTTCAAAAAAAAACTAGCAAATATGGTATTTAATCTTATTTTAAACTTATTATATGAAAAAAAGGTTTACAATAAGACGAAATGATACTGTTAGAAAACAATTTTAATCTTAATCTTGCATATTTTAATAATAACAATGGCTAACAAATTAAATTAGACAAATTTTTTTGAATTTTTTAATAAACAATTCTTTTGAATAATGACATTGATCCAGATGTAGACTTTTTTGAAGACGTCATAGTCAACTCAAACTATTTTGATATTGAGGAAGTTTCTAACCTCATGAATGCGTCACAATCTTTATTTTCAACATTAACTTTAAACATACGCAGTATGAGTAAAAACTTTGAAAATTTTAAATCAATGCTGTAAAATATAAATTTTTAGTTTATGGTAATATGCTTAATCGAAACATGGTGCAAAAGTGAAAATAATAACTTTCAAATTCCAGGTTATAAAGCTATTCACCAAACTCGAGGTGGTGGCGTTGGTGGCGGTGTATGCATTTTTATTCACGAGTCAATCCATTATCTAAAAAACACTTCACGAGTCAATCCACTATCTAAAAAACCCAAATCCTGATTCTTTTTTTATATCCCCAGTTACTTCTCAAGAAATAAATGACTATATCTCACTCATGAATCCGAAAAAAAGCACTGGACCCAATAGCATTCCTTCAAAAATAATGACCTTAGCATCTCAAGAATTGAGTTTCCCCTTGAGTATTTTAATAAATCAATCTTTCCAATCAGGGATATTTTCTGACTTGTTCCAATTTTTAAAAGCGGCTGTAAACAAGATCCTTGTAACTATCGGCCTATATCCTTACTCTCAAATGTAGGTAAGCTAATTGAAAAGCTTATGTATAACAGGCTACTAAGTTTTTCAAATCTATCAGATAGCTTATATAGTTTGCAATTTGGATTCCGAAAGAAACACTCCACTAACCAAGCACTCATAGATATAACTGAAACCATACGTGAGGCTTTAGATCATAAACAGTTTGCTGGTGGAGTGTTTGTTGATTTGCAAAAAGCATTTGATACTGTCGACCATGAAATTCTATTATCAAAGCTGTATCATTATGGTGTAAGGGGAATTGCTCTGAACTGGTTTAAGTCATATCTAAATCGTCGTCCTCAAAGTGTTACTATTGGTAATATCTCATCCACTACTAAGTTTACGTATATAGGTGTTCCTCAGGGTTCAACTCTGGGTCCCCTTCTTTTCCTTATCTACATAAATGATTTAAATACTTGTATTAAGTACTCAAAAGTGTATCATTTTGCTGATGACACTAACCTTCTAATTGTAGATAAGTTTTTAAAAAAGCTAAATAAGTACCTAAATTATGACTTGGCATCACTAGTCCAATGGTTACGATCAAACAAAATATCTCTGAATGTCAAAAAAACTGATTTAGTTCTATTTAAACCTCGAGGCAAAAAAATTATCAAAAAACTTAATTTTAGAATTAGTGGTCAAAAACTAAATATTGTAGATAAAATAAAATATCTAGGCATATTGTTAGATGAAAATCTCTTGTTCATTCAACAAATTAAATCCATAGCAAACAAACTAAGTCGAGCAAATGGAATGCTTACCAAAATAAGGCATTTTGTGAATTATGAAACCCTTGTGAATATTTGGCATGCTATTTTTAACTCCCATCTACGCTATGGTTGTCAGATATGGGGACAAACTTCATCCATGTATAAAAAAAACCTTATAAATCTCCAGAATAAATCATTAAGAATAATTCACTTTCAACCTAACAGTTTTAGTTCTGACCCACTATATAATCTTTCTAAAATTTTAAAGCTTGATGAACTTATCTACTTATCAAACTGTGTACTTGTATGGGACATTGTCCACAATAATATGCCCAGCTGCTTCACTAGCTATTTTAAATTCACAAATGATATTCATAGTTATAATCTTAGGTCTGTATCTTATTGTAGTCTCTCTAAGCCTTTAAAACTAACACATAAGTATGGCATAAAATCAATCAAGTATCAATCAATTCACTGTTGGAACTCTTTTCCTGTTGAAACTAAAATAGTATTATCCAAAATGACAAATAGAAATGCCTTCATAACCCATGTAAAAAAGTTTCTCCTCAATAAAGATAATCAATGAACTATCTTTTATGCTATCACCCCCTAGTTATAGTTAATAATATTTATTATTGTTATTTATTATTATTATTATTATTATTATTATTATGTTATTATTTATACCATTATAGGTCTTTACACGTCATAAGTTTATAACTGTTTGTAAATGTCCCGCACAATTGTATATATATATACAGTATTATTAAAGTGAAAATATATTGATTGATTGATTGATTATCAGAAAATAGAAATTCTTAGCATTCAAGATGCGGGTTATGAATCATTAACTATTGAATTACTAAACCACAATAAAAAAAACGTATTAGTAACTGCTTTGTTTAGACCACCATCATAAAAATCTTTTCAAAAACACTTAAAATGGTATTTAAAAAAAGTAAACAATAAACAAATTTACATCACGGGGGACTTTAACTTAAATCTTCTTAATGTTAAAATTGATAACGACGTAAAACATTTCTTAAACTCACTTTTTCAATACAACATTCTTCCCTTAATTAACAAGCCTACTCGTGTAACTCTTCTAACTGAATCTCTCATTGATAATGTTTTTACTAACATTTTCACAACACGCAACATTCAAAGTGGAATCATAAAAAGCGATATAAGCGACCACTTTCCAATTTTTTTTATATCTGATTTTTATATAAACGAAAAAAAAAGCAAAGTACTAACGGAAATAAAATAGCAGATTACTGAATTTAATATCAAGGAATTTAGAAATCATTTACTCAAAGTAAACTGGAAACAACTACATAATTGTAAAGATACAAATAAAGCTTATGCATTTTTTTACAACGAGTTTCTTAATGCGTACGACAAAGCGTTTCCGATGAAGGAAATTAAAACCAAGTGTAAAAACCTACATGTCCATGGATTACAAAAGGACTTGTTAAATCTTCTAAGAAAAAACAAAAACTCTATGAAAAATATTAAAAAAAAAAAATTTATCAAAACGAAAAAAATATATAAAACTTACAAAAACCTGTTTGAAAACTTAAAAAAAAAGCTAAAAAAAATTATTTCTCAACTTTATTACAAAATAATATTGGAAATAACAAAAAAACTTGGGATATAATAAAGGAAGTGATAGGAAAAGAAAAGAAAACTCGTGGTAATTGTTTACCAAAATATTTATATACTGAGGATGAAAGAACAATAACTAGTGAAAAAAAAGTTATTGCAAACAGTTTTAACAACTTTTTTATAAACGTGGGTAAAAACCTAGCAAACAAAATAACTCCAGGAAAAAAAAATTTAAAATCATATTTAAAAGAAAAGGACTATGTAATAGATGAGCTTGAGGTATCGCCTGATGAACTTCGGTTTGCTTTTAATATGATAAAACCAAACAAAAGCGCAGGCCTTGAATGTATAAACCCAAAGATTGTTAATGAAGTTTTTGATATTATTGAGAACCCCTTACTTATTATTTTTAATCTTTCATTTAAAAATGGCGTTTTTCCTGATCTCTTGAAGTTTGCGAGAGTAGTTCCAATATTTAAGGATGGTGATATCTCAAAGTTATCTAATTACAGACCTATTTCAATACTCCCATGTTTTTCTAAAATTCTAGAGTGAATAATGCATAATAGGCTTTACAACTATCTCACAACTTACAAAGTTTTAAATAATAATCAGTACGGATTTAGAAAAGGACACTCGACAGAACATGCAGCAATTAAATTAGTTAAAGAAATATTAAATAAGTTTGAAAACAACCAATATACTCTTGGAGTGTTTATTGACCTCTCTAAGGCTTTTGGTACTGTAGACCATGATATTCTTCTTTACAAACTTGAAATTTATGGAATCAAAAATAATAATTTTAAATGGTTTTGTTCCTATCTAAAAAATCGCAAACAATGCGTATCTTATGACAAAACCTACACTAAATTAGAAAACATTACCTGTGGAGTTCCACAGGGATCTATTTTAGGGCCTTTGTTGTTTATTATTTATATCAACAATGTTTACTTATCATCTAGTATACTAAACTTTAATCTTTTTGCTGATGACCCTCAAGTTTTTTATACTCACTCTAGCATTAAGACAATCTTTACCACTATGAATAGTGGTAAAGATTGATAACCTTAATGAATGGTTTAAAGCCAACAAACTCTCTCTGAATCCTACTAAAAGCAAATGCACTCTTTTTTCTAAATCCTCTAAATCTGAAACGCTGCCTTTAAAACTCCCGGATATTTTAATAGAAAAAACCAAGTTACAACGGACATACTGCGTTAAATTCTTAGGCGTTTTAATCGATAAGCAAATAAATTGGAAAGAGCATATTAATCTAATAGAAAATAAAATTTCAAAAAGTATTGGAATCATGTATAAAACTAGATATATGTTGGATAAAAACTGTTTAAAATCTATTTACTTTTCATTTATTCATAGCTATATTAGTTATTGTGACATTGCTTGGGCAAGCACTTATCCGTCAAGACTAACTTGTATCTTAAAAAAACAAAAACAGGCAAGCCGCCTTATATTAAATGTTAATAAATACGCCAGTGCCAATCCAC